TTGATGTTTTTGCCGTCGGGATCCATCTTGTGGCCAATGTTCATTGAATGTGGCAGAGGTGTGGGTTTGGTGTTTTCCTCTCTTCAAAGCTATCACTGAGTGCTTCTAAGGCACACTGATGTCTCAGAAGTGAGGTCTCAGGAATGAGGAACCGCCGTGGGGTGAAAGCGCGGTGGGGTGCGGGGCGAGGCTGTCCCTGAGCAGGCCCTCCTGTCCCACCCCCGCTCCAGGCTCTAGGCGAGCCCCTTTACCGAGTGAGCACCGGCAACTACGAGTACCGCCTGATCCTGCGCTGCCGCCAGGAGGCGCGCGCCCGCTTCTCCCAGATGCGCAAGGACGTGCTGGAGAAGATGGAACTGCTGGACCAGAAGCACGGTGAGCGCCGCCCTCCTCCCCGTCCCCTCTCCATTTCAGAGGTGGGAAAACTGAGGCCCAGAGGCGTAAGGTACTCACCTGAGGTCTCAGGGCCAGGCCACGGCCCAGATGTGAAGCCCCTACAGGAGCCCAGCCACCTGCCCAGAGTCTGGCGTGGGTGGGGCTGGCCTGTGCATGTGGGCTCCGTGGGCGGCCGTCCATGATCCATTTACCCTGCAGCCTCCTGCGTTCCCTGAACTGGGAGCTGGGAGACCCCGGGCTGGGCAGCCCCTGCCTCTGCCCCTTGCCGGGTCATGAGGGATCAGGGAAGTGCCCGAGTGGGAAGCCCAGGGGAGACGAGAGGTGGGCCGGGTGGGCTGGGAGAGTCTCCTCCGAGGCAGGCAGCCAGAGCCCACTGCTGCCTGTCCCCCGACCTCCCACTCCAGTCCAGGACATCGTGTTCCAGCTGCAGCGCCTCGTGTCCACCATGTCTAAGTACTACAACGACTGCTACGCGGTGCTGCGGGATGCCGACGTCTTCCCCATCGAGGTGGACCTGGCGCACACCACACTGGCCTACGGCCTCAACCAGGAGGAGTTCACAGATGGGGAGGAGGAGGAGGAGGAGGAGGACACGGCAGCTGGGGAGCCGTCCAGGGATACACGAGGGGCTGCTGGGCCCTTGGACAAGGGTGGAAGCTGGTGTGACTCCTGAGTGCCCCGCGGGTATGGCGCCGGGGGCAGGGTGCGTGGGAGGACGGAGCCTGGGAGCGGGTCGGGGCCGCCAAGCAAGGGGGCGACGCATAAAGGCCTGCTGGCTTGGGGCGCCTGCCTCCCTGCTCCTCTGTCCTCGCACAGTGAACCTGGGCTCCTGCCCAGGACAGGCACCAGGGTCATGGCCTGGGACCTGGACACTGGCCCCTCCACCCTCCCTCCCCTCCCGGCTCCCCGGCCAGAGGGAGAGCTTGGTCTCTGGACCTGCGTTAGGAAGGAGAGGGAGGGCAGGAAGGAAAAGAAAGGACTTGGAGGTGGCAGGAGTCCGGGCCCTGCTCCTTGTGGGCACTCGCACTGCCCCCGGAGCCTGCCGGGAGTGGGGCCAGCGATGGACAGCTGAGGTTGGGGCCAGTGTCTCCTGGGCACCTTGCCTCGCCCCAGACCGGCCCGTCCAGTCCCCATCACACCTCGGCGGCCTTTATTTATTCTCTTCCCCCAGCTTGGCCACTTCTTTGAAGGAGGGCTGGGCTCTGGGCCTGTATCGAATAAACAAACCTGGATGGCGCAGTGGTCGCAGTGGCTTCAGCCCCTCCTCGTCTGCCCCTCTCCTCCACCATAGTGCCCTCGCTGTGCGTCATTTATGCCTCACTGAAGCGTTGCAGGGCTGGCACTGTGGTCCCCTTACCGCTGGTGATTTGAGGCTCAGAGAAAGATCCTGCCCAAGGCCACACCATGTGTGGGGACACAGTGGGATTTAATTCAGACCTGTCCTGAAGGCCTGACTTTGCCACCTGCCTCCAAAGCTTTCTGCTTTGTGGAGCCTTTTCTATCTCACCCTCCCCGCCCCCTGCCCCCAATCTGTGACCTTTCTGTGCTTCCAACAGGAAATAAACCTTTGGGGAAGAGACGGGCAGACATGGAGCCAGGGCGACAGCCCCCAAGTAGGGGAGGGTGGTAAGGGGCAAGTGCTGACTCCAGGTGCACCTGTGCCCCCGGGCGATGGGGAAAGGGCTGTGGGAAGAGAGGTGTGGAGAGAGGCCATGGGGAGTATCTGCAGAGTGGCAGAAACAGGGTGGCCACTTCTGCTTCTCCTGGCCAGCCTCGGCCTGGTGTGATCAGTCATAGTGGCCCTTGTCACTCTAACGTGTTCCAGTTTGGATGATGAATATGGCCATCCTGATAATGGGAGGGGGCAAGAGGGTGTGCGAAGCGGGTTGAGTCCAGGATGGAAAAAGGGTTTGAGCTTTGAGCATGCAGTGCTGGGCACAAACCCAAATGGGAGGCTTGGCAAGGGTGGGACATAGAGGAGGGGCCGGCTGTCACCAGGAGCCCACCTGGGTCCCCGCAGAGCCATCAGACAGACCTCACCACGTCCCTGAAGGGGGCAGCCAGAGTGGAGGCCCAGGGCACAGGCTGGAACTGACAGCCTGGGTTAGTTCCTGATCTCCCTGGGCCTCAGTTTCCCTATCTGAAGTGTGGCACCTACCTCATTGGCTTGGTAGGAGATTAAATGAACATCTAGAAAGGGCTTGGAACAGGGCTTGGCACAGAGTAAGTAACCACTCTTAAGTGTTAAAGTCAAAAGGGCTGGGCGCGATGGCTCACGCCTGTAATCCCAGCACTTTGGGAGGCCAAGGCAGCCAGATCACGAGGTCAGGAGATCAAGACCATCCTGGCTAACACGGTGAAACCCCGTCTCCACTAAAACTACAAAAAATAAGCCGGGCATGGTGGCAGGCACCTGTAGTCCCAGCTACTCCCGAGGCTGAGGCAGGAGAATGGTGTGAACCTGGGAGGCGGAGCTTGCAGTGAGCCAAGCTTGTGCCACTGCACTCCAGCCTGGGCAACAGAGCGAGACTCCGTTTCAATAAATAAAATAAAATAAATAAAGTCAAACGTAGTCGCTGCTCTAGTGGCACAGGGGAAGCCATAGGCTGTATAAGCAGAAGCTGGCCAGGCATCTGTGAGGCTCCCCAGACCTTCCTGGGGCCTGGATGGAATATGAGGGCCAGCAGGGACCAGTGGGGAGGGGTCACTATGGACTGGGCTGGAAGGCAAGGGGAGTTTGCGGAGGGAAGGTGGCTTCCTCTGCAGGGGCCTGTTCACCACGCTGATGATTCAGAGGGAGGCAAAGAAAGAGGGGGTGTGATGTATGGGAGGAGGATAAATGCGTAGAGGGAATAGATCGCGTCTTGCCAGATTTGTGCACCTGGATCCAAGTGCAGGAGGTCAGATGTCAAAGTGCGAGGGAGATGTGGGACACTCCGTGGGGAGAAGGCAGGTGCTGGGATCAGCGGATGACCTGGCTGCCAGCACAGTGTCCAAAGCAAAAGCCCCTGGCCCTGGACACCCAAGTTTATCCTCTAGGGGGAGAGATGCCCTCTGGGAAGGTGAGGGGACATGGCCACCTAGTGGAAGGCAGCAGGGCCCATGTTGTTACTGAGCACCTGGTCCCCCCACCGGCCCCCCAGGACCCCAGGGACAGAGTCGTGTGCTCAGCCTACAGTGAACAAAGAAAGCAGCCGGGCTGGGATTCAAACTGACCCTGACGCTGGGACTTTGAGCCCTCTAAGACCCCTCGGGCCCCCCGCCTGCAAGCAGCCCCCAACCTTGAGCCCTAGTTGCTGCCAACCCCTCATCCCCTCCACTGGAAAAGGCAGACGCCAGTGAGGGGGGCTTCAGCAAACAGCTCTGAGCAGTGGGGCTGGGCAGGAGCCAGGCACTGTGCCCACCCAGCCCCGTGCCCCTGAGCCCTGTGCCCACCCAGCCCCTTGTGTCTACACCTGGGAACGATGGGTCTCTTCATCAATCTCTGACGCTTCCTCCCAACACTGCCCACCTAGAAGCCGGCTTCAGGGGCCTGGAGAGAGACCTCCCAGACTCCCTCCTGCCACCCCGACCCCCAACTCAGGTGGCAGCCGGAGCCTGGGCAGAGGCGCAGGAACAGAACCTTCTGTCGTTCAGCTGAGCTTTATCAACAGTTTCCTGTTGCTTCATAGCGGCTTCACTGGCAATGGGGCACGGCCTGGTGGAACTTGGGGCACAGATGAGGGAGGCAGTTCCCAGACACCCAGGGGATCAACTGGAGCCCAGACATGGACCCCGGGAGTGACCACCCCAGACCAGCCTCCCAGTGTACCAGGCCCTCTGAGACAAGAAGCTGTGTTCCCAAGTCACTGGGCCACCCCACCCAGGTGCACCCTGAGTTACACAGACTCGGCAGCCAGCCTCGGCCTCGCCTCTGTTTCTGGTTCTGTGGGCTCGCCCCGGGCGCTCAGCACCTCCAGGGCCTCCAGGTTGCCAGGTTCCTCTGCGACGACAGGCAGGGGCTCAGAGTCCCCTTCAGCCTCAGCATCCTCAGTGTCACTGGCTCCGCCCTCAGCGCCTGAGCCTGCTGGGGCAGCTTTAGCACAACGCAGGCAGCAGTTGGTGGCGACAGCCATGAAGACCCCGGCCAGGGCCACCTCGGAGCCTGCCAGGTAGAAGATGATCTCGTAGTTCTTGAATGCATCCACCAGGCGGCCTGGGGACGGGGAGAAGGTGGAAGAGGTAAGGCCCTGCGGGGTCCCCCCCTCACTTCCCTGCACTCTCAGGTCAAGGGTGGTGCCACTGACTTGGTGAGGCTCACAGGTGACACACACATGCCCACTCTTTATTCCTGTTTTACAAATGTAAAACCCTATGTGGGTTCTGACATTTGAAACCTTAAAAATGTCACTTGCTGTCCCTGGACCTCAATTGACTAAGTGATATGGGGCTTTTGGTGAGGCGTCCCCTCTTCCCACTGATTCAAGGCCCACAAGTGTCCTGTGACTTGCTTGGCAGTGGGGCATCTGGGGTGGGAGTGGGGAGGGGCCATGGGCTTAGCTCTGCCCTCCTGGGGGCCTCCACCTCTTGCTGTTGCCATATGTAAATGCCCCGGTCCTCAGGG